GCTTGGTACCTCAGAGCTTGCATCTCCAGTTCTGGCGGTGACGACGGGGCATGCGACGGGCTCAGTTCCATTCAGACACGCCCGGCGTAGCTTCATGCATCCGAAGGCTTGGAAAAGACAGCAGAGCTCATGAAGCCGAAGCACGGAATTCCACCCTCAATCTGCTCGTAGGAACCATGCAGCTTGGCCCATGCCTTCTCCAATAGCGCCACCCAAAGCTCGCTCACCGTCTGGCCTGCGAGCTTCTTCAGACGGCATGTCGCTAGCTGCCGCTACGGGCTGCTACCGCAGCTTTCACTCTGCAAAGCTTTCAAGGAAGACGGGGCACCACAATCCAAAGCAGAAGCGCACCTTTGCAGAGACTCAACTCCCCAATCTCGCCTTCCCCTTCGACATTGACATGTGCATAGCAGGGCTTGCCCGTCGATGGGGAGCATGGGATCAAATCATCCACAATGACTTTGGTCAGCTGTCCGTTCTTGAAGCACGAGACCTCGTAGACGCCAAGGCTGCTGTGCTTGTCGCTGCTGAAGAGCTCGCGGATGAGCTGAGGCTGCTCTGCTAAGGCTGCCAGAGCAGCCAAGTACCAACAATCACCCAAAGCTCCCTGGTGGATGTCACATGGCGTGATCGAATCAGAGAAGACTCTGATCTCGCCCTTGTTGCAGAACTCGCTGGGGCGCTTCCAAACAACACAAGGGTTGTCTTGACTCTGCGGTTGGTTGAACAGCGCAGTGTCGTCGGGGAAGAATTCCGCATCAACGAACCTTGGCAGTGACATGCAACGGCGGCATGCTGACACTTCTCACAGGTCTTGGTGCAACTGGAAGGCTGCGAAATGCCTCTTTTCGAGCACGCCTCCTGTACCACAGTGCGCACAATGCAGCAGGAAAGAACAAGTCGCAGAGACCCTCAGAAATGAGGCCTCGATCTTGGCTGCCGAATCGAACTTGGACGGAACAATGTTACAGGCTTTGAGGTTTGCCACGATGTCGTGCCGCCTCTCACTGATTCGATTGCAACCCCTCACTTTGGTCTCTCGGATGCCGGGCCTTTTCACTTCCTCTGCTGTCTGCTGCTG